AAATTTAAATCACTGATTCAAGGTTAAAGATTCATGAGGATTTGAATCGATGATTTAAGATTTGAACTTGCGTTAGGTAGTTCAGTGACCTTCCAATTCATTAATTTTGATCCCTGGACAAAACTAATCATAATAATTAAAAATATTAATAAACATTTTCTGATATTTCCCCCTCGGATGCTTCAGAGGGAAATATAAATAACAACGATTTGTATTCTTGGTTTCTAACTTCATTTCAACATTTGCGAACACTTCCTTTAAACCCTTCTTATTTAATTCATTTTGGGATTAATTTTGTTAAAAAATAAAGCTGACGTCATCCTAGCCATCCATACTCTAGGGGTGTTACTAACTGTACATTAGTAGTAAACATGTGAAATTAAATCCAAGCTCGTAAATAACTGTTAAAAGTGTGTCATAAAATTCAATCGATATTTCTTCAAACATGAAACTGAAGGGTGCATTAAAACTGTTGCCAAGTGCAAAAAATATCAAAATTCAAATTTTAATTTATATTTATTTTTCAATAACTATTTTTTTAAATATTACTTGCCACTATTAGTCCTTTACCCACTCAACCCACCCCTTAATACGAGTGTACTTTAAATCAATGAAACTTTAGTGCCCATGTGTTCTAAGTGTGTACTGTAACATACTGATCATATTCTAGAAATGACCTAGCAAGGACAATTCAAATAAATATGTTCAAATATCAAACAGACTCGGGTATATAATGCACAATTTTAGAACACTTTGTTAAATATGAATGATTATACATTTTGCACTTTTTTTATTAAAAAAGAAATCTGATTTTGTATCTTGCCATCTTTCTCTCTATCTTTGTATCTTGCCACCTTTCTATCTATCTTTGTATCTTGCCACATTTATATCTATCTTTGTATCTGCCACCTTTAAATCTATGGTTGTATCTTGCCACCTTTCTATCTATCATTGTATCTTGCCACCTTTTTATCTATCTTTGTATCTTGCCACCTTTCCATCTATCTTTGTATCTTGCCACATTTCAATCTATCTTTGTATCTTGCCACATTTATATCTATCTTTGTATCTTGCCATCTTTCTTTCCATCAATGCATCTTACTACCTTTCTCTCTATCTTCGTATCTTGCAACCTTTCTATCTATCATTGTATCTTGCCACATTTCTATCTATATTTGTATCTTGCCATATTTATATCTATCTTTGTATCTTGCCATCTTTCTTTCCATCATTGTATCTTGCCATCTTTCTCGCTATCTTTGTATCTTGCAACCTTTCTATCTATCATTGTATCTTGCAACCTTTCTATCTATCTTTGTATCTTGCCACATTTCTATCTATCTTTGTATCTTACCACCTTTCTATCTATCTTTGTATCTTGCCACCTTTCTCCCTATCTTTGTATCTTGCCACCTTTCTATCCATCATTGTATCTTGCCACCTTACTCTCTATCTTTGAATCTTGCCATCTTTATATCTATTATTTTATCTTATCTATCTATCTTAACCCCTTCTATCTCTCCATATTTCTATCTATAAATACTGCCACCCTTATATATTCTATTATCTTGCCATCCTTAATTCTTTCTGTCTATCTATCTATTATCTTGCCACCCTTCTATCTAATATCTATCTATCCTCTTGCCATCCTTCTAACCATCTATCTATCTACGTCTATATTGGTATTCACTTCTTTTCATTGAACTCAACAGAAATATTGGTTGTAAAACTAAAGTTAAAAACAATACGGGGAAGAGATAAAAATTATCTAAGACTAGGAATTCACGATCATAAAATACTTTGACACAGTTAGTTTATATTGGGAGGCAAATTGGAAGAATTTTATATACCCCCCCCCCTCTTCCCTCCCATCCTTCTTACGCTAGTGGAATTCAAAAATAAAATTGTGAATCGTCTTTTAAAAGATCAAACAGATGCTAAAATCCAGAAAAAGAAAAAATTGAATTTCAAGAATTTTTAAAGGAATAAGGATGAATGGACAAAAAAGGGTTCGGTTCAAAGGCGTACTCAGAGGTTTACTAGCGTTTACGGGGGTGTAGGGGGGAGAAGGGGGAGGGATTTAAAAACTTGGGAGAAAAATTCAGGTGGGGGGGGGGGGAATTTTCTCCTCCCCCAACCCCCCCTCCACCTTTCCTCAGATGCACATCTGCTATGGTTTTTTTCTGTGTCCCCTTCGACCCTCCCTGCAGGGTGGCTGGGTCACATTGAGTCTGGTATTTTGTATTTGTTTTAACAGTAAATTCATGTGATCAAGGAAAGGAGAGCAGGGCTAGGAGGGGGGGGGGGTAGAAGGGGTGGAGGGAGGTAACTGACCATTCACCCCCTACCAGGCAGTCCCCAAGCAGTCTAGAATACACTAGACTTCTAGGCTTCATCAGCCTAATTCATTAACATAGAAAACAAACCAACAAAACAAAATCATTTGAGTAATTTAATAAAAAAGCTTATACATTAGATTTTCTATAACAATCGTCAGAAAATTCGCAATTTACCAAAATCCTCAGCTGTAGCGACAATTGAGTTTAAAATTATAATGTAATATGAAGTATTCTGTTTAAAAGAATCATGCAACAACTTATATTTTTATGATTGTGTGTTCTTTTTTTGTGACATGAACGAACTGTTATAACATTCCGCAATTTGACGTTAGAAAAATGTTTAAAAACCAGCAAATACATTAAATCAATTTTCCGTAGTTTCGTCTGTTGTAAATAACCCTGTATAATCCACCCAACCATATGTTCTGGTGAAAAGTATACCGTGTGTCCCAGAAAAATGCGAATTAAAAGACGACAATTGGGTTGATGTTGGACACAACGTTAAAAAACCTGCTTTGCAAAAAGTATTTTAAAATAAAAAATAGCATTTTAATGAAACCGTATTAAAGGAACACAACATACTTATTTGTTTTTAAAGGAAGTGTTCGCGAAAAATGAAAAGTGAATCCGAATTAACTCTCCACTCTTAGGAACATAAAGCGTTATTTTTTACTTTTTGTACCAAATTCTCATTATGGACGCTAAAGATTAGTAGCGATCGAAACCAAATCTGATTGGGATTCGGATTTGCGAACACTCCCTTTAAATTGGTATGTTTAGTGAGACACCCTGTCTCTCTGTATGTATGTATATATTTCTGTAAGAAACCCCTAAAATCAATTGAAGAATGACCCTTGCTCCCTATATTCTGTTAAATGGGTAGGAAAAATTGAGATATAAGAAAACTAGGACGATAAAATAAACTTTGAAAACTAAGACTTAGCATTTTATTACAGGGAAGTGAGGCGGAAATCTATTTATTTAAATATAATGAATGTTATGATACATATACTAGATACTAGATACAAAGAAAATTCAGTTGACTAAAACAATTCTTTCCCGCCAATCTTATCCGGATTTTAATCTTCGATCCTGATCCAGATATTAAAATAATCAGGGTGTTAGGTTTCAGGTTCTCAGCTATTTTTTAGCAGAAAACAGAATTAGGACGGAGCGAGTTAAAAACGTCGAAGAACAAAACGTCATAAATAAAATGTTTTACAACAAAACGTCGATGTTACAAAATGTAGAAAAACAAGATATCTTTTACAAAATGATGAACGGCATTAATGTCGAATGTTTAAAAAAGGCAAAATTACTAAACGTCTAAATTATTAAACGTCTAAATTACCACTGTTTTCAAACAATCGACGTTTTTTAGCATTCTCCGTTTTGTTACAGGGCGTTTTGCTCTTAGATTTTTTCTTATTCGACATTTTTTTTGACGTTTGTACACACTCCGTAGTTTTTGATCTAGTTCGCAGCTTTTGTAAATTTAAAATCCCTAAAATTAATTATACTTTAATGAAAGAAACTGTTCTGTAAGAGGTTAAATAAATTAAGGTTTTATTCTCCTCTAAACTATGATTTTCCCGATATCGTAGACCTTATAAATTTCAAACTTTGATATATGTTAGATCAAATAATCTAAGTTTGAAATATCAAAGGTTTACATCACCAGGTTGCAAAGATTATGGGGATTAGAAACATTTGAGTTTGTGGTTTAGACAACATAAAACATAAAACATTTAATTATTTCAAATATGCAATGGTACAAAGGAATTAACATCAAAAGAATCAAAATATTATTCCGAATAAAATAAGCTATTAAAGAATTCTAAGAACATAACTATAAACAACTGGGAAGAACAATGAAGTGTTTAAAGTTTTCAAACTTGCATAATTAGTTCTTATCAAAAAAAAACAGTTTACAAGTCCAACCAATTCAACATTGTATCATTCGTGATTTTTAATGAAAATTCATTTGTGTTTCTTGAATAAAACAAAAACCATGGATTCCACCTTATTCTGGGATTTTTAAAATGTTGACTGACTGTTGTGCGCATATTACAAGTTTTTTTTTAATATTTTTATTGCTATATATGTTTTACAACTTACAAGTGTCATAGCATTAATCTATATATAAATTTAGCTTGTCTGTTTGTTTGTATCCAATAAACGTCTAAACGGCTGAACCGATCGGGCCCCAATTTTGTGTCGGACCTCAAGTGTCCCCAAGGAAGGTTTATGAAAGATCAAAATTTCAAAAATTTGTGTTTTAAATTTTTTTTTTTGTAAAATTTTGGAAATGCGCGAAAAAAATTATTATGAAATCCGCAAACTTTTTTAAAATTTTTTTATACTATACAAAGAGAAGATGCTCGCAGATAAGGCCACAATTAAAAATTGAAATGGAAGATGCCTAAAAGCATAGTTTGATAAGTACAATACAATAAATTTTATGTTAGCTTAGTTTTTTAGAATAAAGATTTTTTGACATCTTTTTAAATTTTTTTTTCTTCAATTTTTAGACATCAATTCCTAGAAAATACTTAAATTCTAAATCTAAGTTAGAGTCAAAATTCAAACATGAATAGCCATATCTTAGATATTTCAAAGATGCTTACAGATTTTCAACAATTTAAACAAAAACTGGAAGACGACATTTTAGCTTTTAACATTGTCAGTTCAAAGTATAAAGTCGTCTTTTTATTTTACATGTATTGCATCAACAGTCATAGAAAACTTTCTTTGAACCAAGTCCTAAAAATAAAATTTAAGAACACGTTTTTATAAAAATTTGAAGAATTAATTTGTTTTCCTCAACTATAAGATAAAATCTTATTTGTTACATATCTAGTTCCTCTCAATATACTGCATGCAGGGTATCCCACATCATATTGGATCGTATATAGCTTTAAATTACAATTTTCGGGACTAATTAGAAAATTTAAAAAAAAATTGAATCATTAAAATAAATTGTATGAGCATAATATAAAAATTAGTCTGAAGAAAATACTAGGCTTTTCGAGTATTACGTTGCAGGATAAAATACGTTAAAGCTGAGAGATAATCAAATATGATCTTGGACGCTCTGCATAATATTTTCTGATTGCAAGGCCATAAATGGTCAAAATTATTAATCCAGGCTATTTTTTACTTCGATACTTGACGTTTTTGCCAAAAACGGTGTCTTCTTACTGTTCGATTCTGATCGTTTCTGATGGTCTCTGATCGTTAATTACCGTTTCAGATCTTTTCTGAAAGTTTCTTATCGGTTATGATCGTTTATGATTTTAATTCTAAAAGATGTGTATTATGTTGGTATTGTATTCTAACTTAAATAAATTAGCGGATATTATTTTATCCTAGATTTTAATTTAAGTTCTTAATATTTATGTTCGATATCATTTAAAAGGTTTATATCCTAGCTTTCAACTAAAGTTCTAAGTAGCCCAAAAAAAAGTCGGCCAGATTGGCTAGCCATAGCCAACATATATTTATCCTTTTTATATATATATATATTTATTTATATATATATATATACATACCCACAAAGGATATGAGACTAATGAGACGACCTGAAACTCTTTAAACTTGACGATTCCTAAGTTAAATAAGTCTTAGACCTTAAATATAATCTTTTTAAGTCTTTTAAAAAAAGTATTCAGTTGCAAGGAATCATAATAAAACGAATCAACAAACATTATAAATTCCGTACAATCGTCAATTTAGTTTATACTTTACATGAGCAAAGAGCTTTATTATATAGATAGCTCTCAATCAAAGTTCTTGATATTTATTTTGTATATATCATTTTTCTTGAAATATATGGTGGATATCATTTACAAGGTTTACATCCTAGATTTCAATTAAGGGTTTGATATTATGATTGTGGATATAATTTACAAGGTTTATATCCTAGTTCTCAATTAAAGTTCTTGATACCTATGATGGATATCATTTACAAGGTTTATATCCTAGTTCTCAATTAAAGTTCTTGATACTTATGATGGATATCATTTACAAGGTTTATATCCTCTCTTCTTTTCTTTTCTCTCCTAAAAAGAATAAGAAAGATCAATTAGTCTGAAACCTAGTTTAAATAGACGCATCCTATCCTCTCCTCCCACTCTGATCAATTAGTCTGAAAACCTAGTTTAAATAGACGCATCCTATCCTCTCCTCCCACTCTGATCAATTAGTCTGAAAACCTAGTTTAAATTGACAGCCTAGGAAAGCTTGACTAACTAATCTTTGGATGACCATCAAATGCTCGAAATTAGAGTTTGTCGTAAACCTTTCTTGTTTCAAACTTTGAATTCTGTTAGATTAGATAGTCAAAGTTTTATAAAATCAAAGGTTTATATCATCAGAGGGGAACTCTTGTATTGTGGATCTTTTTTTTTTTTTAACCTGCAGTTTAATTTAATCTTTATTCGATATCCCGCAAGTTAATTGTACTTAGTTTGGGGAGGAATACTAAACTGAAGACATGGAAAGGTTTAGCTTTTTTATAGGTCCTCAACTTAAAAGTGTCAACAGTGGATATCGAGATCAAGCAATCAGGGTTATGAGTATTCAACAAAAAAGTTCCAAGTTTATGGATTGGCGATTAAGAGGTTGAGGCAAGAAATTAATTCTTTCCGTATTGCTATTCACTATAGGGTGAGAGGGATGGGTTGGGGAGAGTAGGGGGGGGGGGTCCAATTCCTACTAACCTTGGATTTAAATATCTTTGATCAACTTCACCGCCAGGGGGAGGAGGGGGTTGTAGCTGAGCTCGACCTTCAAGAGCAGAAACAGGACGCGAGCTTCTAGTCCTGTCAAGAATATAAATTCAAAGGATTAAAAAATTTGAAAATTTTAGTTTATTATTTGATTAGTGTTTATGCAGTATAAACCATATAATATTTTTGTTAAAAAACAGATTTATATTAATATCAACCAAATTATTAGATTAAAAAAATGGGGGAATACATCAGTAATTTAATTTTTTTAATTAAGCATTTCAAAATATGAGAACGCTTTAAAACCGTCTGAAAAATGATCCCCTTGCGCTACAAGACATATTAATGAACTGGGCTTTTAGTGCGCTTCGCGTGTACATCTTCTATTTCAAAAACAAAACACAAAGGAATTGAGTCTTTTCCACAAACTCTGATTTTATAATCCCTATATTTTTGGAATCCAATGTCGAAAAAATATTTCAAACTTATATTATTTGATCTAACAGAATTCATAGTTTGAAATATCTAAAGTCTACGACATAGGAATTTAAAGATGATTTAGAAAAGCAGAGTTTGTGGCAAAGACTCAATTCCTTTCGCGGATTTCAAAAGTTAGTAGACTTTCAAACTTTAATGAAAATATAATTTTGTCGGATCATCAATAGGCCTTTCCTGGGGTCACGTGAGGTCCCACACAAAATTTGGGCCCAATCGGTTCAGCCGTTTTGACGTTTATTGGATAAAAACAAACAGGCAGACAGACAGACAAGCAAAGTATATATAAATGATAAACAAACTAAAAGATTTACAGTATTTACAGAATTTACGTCATATATCCTACATTTATAGACAGAAAACTCTAAGAATAAAGACGACCTTATTTGAACTCCATTTATGACTTTAAAAGGTCCAATGAGCATGGGACCCATTCATTTAACAGTGTAAACAGACTCATTTCACTTAATTAGTAATCTGATAAGTTTCTATCAAAACTATTTGCTTTGTATCATCATCAAATGCACTTAAGTATTGCTATGAATGTGTCTCCCTATTTCAGAGTTTTCTGGTTAATACTGTATCTAAAACCTAAAATGGTCCCTTTAAAGTACAAAGCAAAGTTTATTGTGATATGGCTGAACCATGGTATTTAAAATTCACCTGATATCTGTAGTTACAGTATGATAGTTACCATTGAAAAATGAAAAACTATCAGATTTGCCAAACCGAGGATCATTGTGAAGATCATGGGCAGACCCTTGATTAAAAAAAATATTAATTAATTTAACTTTTTTACATGAAATTTTTGTGTTAATCATATTCTGTGATATTAATCATATTACCTGAATTTAGCGAGCTTGTGAAAAATTCATCATTCTTATCGTCACTTGGCTTCTATTACAGAAATGTAAACTTAAAGGAACTGGAAGCGAAATCCAATCTATTGCTAATCTGTTTAAATATACACCATTAACCCTTTTGTTGTTTGGAAGACACTAAAGGCGTAATTACTAGTGACCCTCCATGCAATCTCTAATCTGCCCCCTCTCTCATATTTATAAAATATTATGTTTTATCAACGATCTCTATATGTACATAAAGATATAATTTAATACATATTAAAGTACTATGTACAGTAGGATTTAGTTAAAGATTTAGATTTAATGTTTAAAGGGACTGTAAGCGTAATTTCAAGTGACCCTCCAGCAATGATGCAATCCCGATTCACAACGGTACCCTTTAAAGATTTGTCTGATTAAGTATGAATTAAATATCACTGTTTGTAACTTTGAAAACTAATTTTTTTCAACTGTGGTTTCAATTAAAAAGTGACTTGCGTATTTCCACCGCAGGAAAAGATATAGAAATTATCAGGATTAAACACTTTTAAACTTAGAAAAACGACAATATCTTCTACCTTATTGATCAGATAAAGGTTATATTGCATTTGCATTGAAGGACACTAGTAATTACGCTTACAGTGCCTTAAATAAGAGTTTTTCCAACAAATAAAATGGCAAATGTTTTATACTTAATCAGATTGTCAATAGATTGTAATCATATAGACTTTTCTGTAAAGATATTTTTATTTAAAACCGTGTCCTTCATCTTAATTTTTCGTAAACATCCCCTGTAATCAAATGAGAGACTCCTAATGAAAAAATGGCTTAAAAATCCATTATAAAGTAAAACGGTCTGTGCATACTGCATAATCACTTTGTCTCATAATCATGACTATTTAAAATCAAAACTAGTGTCTAAAAGTCGTCTTCCTTTTCCAGAGTGTTCTGGTATTCACTCTATATACCTGATAGAATCCGTTAATGTTATGAGTGTTCTTGTAAGATCTTCTAAGAGAGGAGTTTGGACGAGACAAATTGTTGTTAGAAGACGACCTTTCCATCGTCGAACTCAACCCCATCTGTAGATCGTTCTGCGAACTAGCTCTTCTATTTCAATCATTAAAATTAGTTAATTAAAAAAATAATCTTTCTTCACCTCTTTTATTATTTTTTATGTAATTTTAGATTTTTTATCGGAAAACATATATAACTTTATCTTAGTTATAGTGCTTGTATCTAGATATATATAAATATAATGATCACTTCTCTGAGTTATCAAAATCTAATGGATCTCCGGATTTTAAATTGAGAAAGTTTTTCTAAAAAATTGAGTCTTTGCCACAAAATCAAATATTCAATTGCCTTAATCTTTGAAACCTGATGGTGTAAACCTTTGATATTTCAAACTTAGATTATTTGAACCAACAGAGTTCATAGTTTGAAATATCTAAGGTCCTCAATATTGGGTTGCTCAGATATAGGGATTAGAAAATCAGAGTTTGTGGCAAAGGCTCAATTTCTTTATCAACTAAACTTGAACATCTCATTACATTATATAAAAGAACTTGAAAAGGCCAGATTTTGTAGAAATCATTGTACTTTTGATCAAAATATGTTCTATTGCCATTTCAGAAAAAGTGGTATATTAATGAAAAAAAATATTTTTTTGGTTGGTTTAATTTTGAATTTTTATACGTTTAGTAGTCGTAGTAAATTGTTTATATGACATGTAGATTTTTTTTTATTTTTTGTGATTATATCATTATTGCCATAAAATTAGACAAAAAAGAATCTGAGGAATTATCAAAATAATTCCCGCAAATCCTCTTTTTAAAGAAAAATGTTCAACCTAACCTTAATCCAGTGTAAGGTCGGGGGGCGGAGGAAGATGAATAAGAAGAATAAGAAGATGGATTTGGAGAATATTGTTGAGCAGGAGAAGAAAGGTTGGAGTAGGAAGAAGATGGCCGATGGAGTTTAGTCAAAACCTCACTAGATGGTCTAATACAAAAATGGCATCATTCCATACTCCTTGATGAGATCAGATAAAGGTTTAAAGGGTATCCTTGTAAAGCGCTTTAAATAGAAAGTCATTTAAAGTAAAAATAATCCTTTAAAATAAGTTTATCAAAAGGAATTTTTTTCTGCCTAAAAGAGAAATTTTTTAAAGTTTTGAATATTAGCAACCTGATGTCGCAGCTCTTTAATATGTCAAGTATATAATTCTGTTCAGATTATCGGGTTGAGAATATTTAGGGGTTAGACAATTCGAGTTCGTGGCGAGTAGTCCGTTCCTATAACATATTCCTCTGGTTACCTTTGAGGCAGATTACTATAAAAGTTGTCAAGAAATATAGATGAATCCACTCCAGGTCTTCTGTACTCCCCTCCATCCCCTCCACTACATACAATTATCATGTTTATTGGGAGCTCCTGTACTATCCTCCACTACATACAACTATCATGTTTATTGGGAGCCCCTGTACTATACTCCACTACATACAACTATCATGTTTATTGGGAGCTCCTGTACTATACTCCACTACATACAATTATCATGTTTATTGGGAGCTCCTGTATTATCCTCCACTACATACAATTATCATGTTTATTAAGGGAGCCCCTGTACTCCCCTCCACTACATACAATTATCATGTATATTGGGAGCCCCTGTCAAAATACACATTGCAATTGTATGAAGTCTATGAATAAAGATTGTTAAATGCACATTAATGTTAATTTAAAACTATACACGATTTCCTTATAACTTTACAGTACAGGAGCGACAATTTTCTAATTTCAAGTCATCAAAAGTATTGAAACCTAAAAATTACCTTCTAATTGAACTGTATGGCATTCCATAGTAAATATTATCTCTCCTAAACTCTCCCATTTTCCTAGCTTTTATAAATCAAATTTGAAAAAATTATTTTTCCATTAGGATGCAAATAAATAAAGCTCATACAAACTTTAGATTGTGGCTAAATTACTTTACATGTTGGTATGAAAGACCAATTGGAAATTACAGTGTACTGTTACTGTAAGCATCAAATGAATTTTTTTCTTCATATGAAATGTACTTATCCCAAAAGGTCACTTTTTCGCGGTGGACTAAACCAGTGGGGTCGGTCAAATAGGCCTAGGCCTAGGCCGGGTATTGTAAAAAGTCTGAACGCGCCATTGGGAGTTGTCATAGTAAACCCTCTCACGGGACTATGCCAAGAAAATTGACCCCTGTCGTATGTTAGTCTTGTTAGGGCGACGTACTGTACCATAGGATCGGGTCAGTACACGTTGTTATCTGGCAGGCCGCTACAAACTGGGCAGGTCCTGTTCGAATTAAAATTTACTACGGGGATAGAGTGTTTTGCAAAAATAACTTCTCAAATTTCTAACCTTGAATCAAAGTTTCATTTAAACATAAATAAAGCTGGAACTGTATATTTAGCAATTTTTAAACTAAAATATTTATATAGGAAAATGTATATGCATACTACATGAATATTATCTTAAAAGATTACTTTTGTGAAGACAACTTTTCAAAATTTAAACCTTAAATTAAAATCAAAGTTCTCATTTAAACATAAAGAAAGTTGGAATTGTATATTTAGCCATTTTTAGACGGAAATATATATGTATGAATAACGCACATACATTTATGCAAGGAGATACTGAATAGAAGGAGGGGGCGATAGGGTTTCCGTAAACTTTGCTGTGATGTTTTTGGACTGAATTAGTATTAGTAGAATTGCGTAACAACAATAATAGAGATTGTAAACAATAACACAAATAATAAACAGACATCTAGGGGGGGGNTAGGACTCTAAAGTCCAACCGTAGGGTTAAAGATGGGGGTGGGGGGGGGGGGGGCAGGATAACCTTGAATTTGAATTTGAAAATGTCACTGTAATAAGGTCCTTTTCGTATACAACTAAATTCCTTAACTTTTTCAATCTTTTTTTTAACATAATTTAACACTACTTTCACAGTTTACTAACTCATATTTGTTTATTTTAGATCGGCTGCCTTTGTTAGATTGCTGATGTAGTGAAGAAACAAAAAAAAATATTTTTTATCTTTATTTTAAATCCAAAATTTTTTTAAACATAAAAAAAGATTTGGAGCTTCCATTTTTCAATTGTCAGAATGATAGATGAAAAATGTATTCAAATGAGTACACTATCTACATTTTATTGTTTTTGTAGAGTAGAGACAACTTTTCAATTTTCAAACCTTAAATAAAATGCAACTTTATATTTTGTAACTGTCAGACAGATAGTTTCTAGAAAACTGGACACTGGTCAGAGAATTGGAAAAGTTGGAGGTCCAGGTTGTATTTCTTATATTTTAACAGGAAATATCTGTTGATTCCGAGGGGGGAGGGGGGGGGAGGTCAAGGTGTAAAGAGAGAACACTGTTTACTTAAAGGATTACTCAAAAATAATGATGAACGTTAAAACTTACTCCGTCGTTTTGTTCACATTTAAATATGTTTTCTATTAGAGATGTAAACTTTGTTCTTTCCTTGACAATTCATTTATCTGAACAGCAAAGACAATACTTAAATAGACATTTCATTTGAAAAGGGCCATTTCGGATTCACAACTGTACCCTTCAAAACCTTTATGTATTCAACAATATGAAAGATATCGTTGATTTTCTAAGTTGAAAAATGTGTGACATTTTTCCTCCGTGGTGTGAAACAAAAATGCTTAAGTTAATTTAAAAAGAAACCAAGCTAGCGCGCGCTCCGATCAGAGTAAATTTTCAGTTGAAACTAAATTTTTTCAAACATAAATATGTTTTGTTATCAAAGTATATGAGAGTAAATACAGAAAACATTTAAAAATAATCGGTTTGCGGGTTTTTACAGAAATTGCTTCAATGTTGGCGAGTTATGGTCACAAAATCCAAAATAACTACAAAACCAATCAGTTCTCAAGCGTGAAATTTTGACCGAATTTTGTTCATACTTTAAGAAGTAAAAAATAAAAAATAAAAAAACGAAGGCTTTAATTTTTTATAAACATTTTTTGGTTAATATTTACCCCTTTATCAAACTCTACAGATTTTATGCTTTACAAAAATTAAGTCCTATTTATTTTCTAAAAAATGGCGTTAAAATCAAGTCAATATCTTCATAAACACAAGCGGTTTGACTGGTTGAATAGAGTGATCTTCATAGTGAGGTCACAACTCCGCGCCGAGAGGTCACAGGGAGAAAAAAATGGTAGATCTTATATATAATTAATGTCTATTCATGTATTTAGTTTGAAAAATAATCGGAGAGGGTGCCCACTGATTTTTAGAAAAGGTGGCTGAATTCAAATGGACTGACCCCAACCAGTTTTTTTTCTTCGCCCTAAGAAAGGATTTAGTATGGAAACAGGAAAAAATTTATATTTCTTGTCACATTAAATTCACCTTTATTAGACGTGTAATTCTATAAGTTTTCAAAGATTTCAGTAAGTTTTTAAATTGTATTTTTAATATCTATTCTTTCATGCTTAAGAACTAAAAAGCTAAATATAAATATTTTTCAGCACCATGCCAATATGCCATCAATCAAGCAATTCTTTCAAGGTCTTAAAAGTTCTTGGAAAAATCAATATTAAATTTTTATCTTTATTGTAAATCTAAAACTATGCCTTAATACAGTTCTATCAATGTTGAAAAAATGCTTGATAGGAAATTTTTCTGTTTCCGAAACCTATAAAAAAACCTACAAAAAAACATACAAAAAACATACAAAAAAACATGCCAAAAACCTACAAACACATACCGAAAACATAGAAAAAAAATACCGAAAACAAATCAAAAACTTACCAAAAACCTAACAGAAATCATTTGTCATTTATATTTAGGATAAAAAAGTATAGATGTTTGAGCGTATTTGGAAATGTTGTTCTTTAGTTATATAGGAGAACTAAAGGGGAAGTGGGATGCACCCCACCTCTCTAAGCTGAGATAGGATTTAATGAGCAGGTCATATTAGTACTTAATCAGATCTTTATAATTAATATAAAGCATTCCAAATGATTCGTTCATCATTCGCGGAGACGTAATTTGAAGTGACGGTTCATATAAAGAAGACCTGACCGATTCACTGCGGTACCAGTTCAACAGTAGATCTTATTGTTTTTGTAAATTAATAACTCATAATTGTTAACCAAAAACAATGATCTTACTCCGTTGCAAGGTCGTCTTTGACCAACATTTTCTCCGGTGGCCAAACCAAACATTTTACACCTCTGACAGATATGTAAACAACTTCCCGTGCAGTGCTCATGCTTCAAATTTAGTTTTTTAAAACCATAAAACTCGTGATTTATAAATCTTTGCAACCAATTGTCATTTTATTTCAGAAGATAAGAAAAAACGTTGTTTTAGCACTGTTCAATAACCTGCTTATCCCGAATTTACCCAGTACTAGTAAGATCATTTTCGTAATAATAAACTAATATTATCACAAACATTATATTCGTACCCTGTAAAATCATTGTTAATTACATGTATTTTCAGGATTTAAATATATGGATTCATAATATTATCGTCTAAATGGGTCAGAACGAGGATAAGAGGAAAGCCTATGAATTATCGACTGTATGAGAACTCAAGTTGACCGGGACCGTTCTTTGGGAAATATATACCCTCTTGCTTTGACTGGAAAATTGACTGTACCAGTTCTCACCCCCCCCCTCCCCCCTTCTTGAACTCAACTGCAATAATATATCTTCACGGAAGAGAGAAAAAGAATGAAATTGACAGAGGTTGACATGTTTTAAGATAGAAAACAACTTAAAGGATTACTCAAAAATAATGATGAACGTTAAAACTTACTCCGTCGTTTTGTTCACATTTAAATATGTTTTCTATTAGAGATGTAAACTTTGTTCTTTCCTTGACAATTCATTTATCTGAACAGCAAAGACAATACTTAAATAGACATTTCATTTGAAAAGGGCCATTTCGGATTCACNGTATCATTGACATGTTTTAAGATAGCAAACAATGATATTACTCACATAAAAGTGTGCAGAGTACTGTTGTGAATCGGGCATGCCCTTTCTTTAAATACTCTTGAAATTACAATTACAGTCCTAAAGTTTGACATCATAAGAATTTAAATTGTGTTGACGCATATTTACTATCTTGGAAACCCAGCATTGTCTGGAGATATAAACAATATCCTAGCATAAGAACATATTCTCTTGGTTCTACTCACAGTGCTGTGATCCAACAGTTGCCTGTTTTCACCCAAAAATATTTCTGGATTTTCACAATTGTTTCTTTAAACTAAAGCTTTTTCTTGTTCTTAAATATAAACATAGATTCAGCCTGTTTATAAAAAGTCTCATCAATATTTAAGACAGGGTCAACTTGAAGTGTCGCAACACCTTGGGCTTTCATTTTACCGTTAAACTCACTTATGTTTTTCTATATCAGTTTACATGTACATTTTAACACTATAAAGCAATTGTTGTTAGTTTAGGTTTTTAAGAAGTAATACGCCAATTTCTCATTGATTTTTATTTAAAAGCTTGAGAACTTTACAACACGGTGAATGAAGATCTTTTTGTCTAGACATATAAATAAGTGAGTTAGTAATGTAAATACAAAGGCCATGGAATTATTAGTTATGAGATATGACATATCAAAGTCGTTGTGCAACGTGTTCTGCGATGAAAATTGAAGGCAAATCGGCAAAGGAGTTTAGGGTCTGTCCTAGTATACGATTTTTGGACCCCCCACAGGCCCACCCCTCCTATAAATTTTGTACATACCGTTTATTTTTCAGCAAATTTATTATTATTTATTTTTTTGTTATTTAGGGTTAGGTTAGGTTAAGATACTTTCTGGGCCGAGCGCTGCGGCTAGGATGGGCTAAGGAACCGAGCGCTGCGGCCACGGGTTAGGTTAAGTTAAGAAACTTCCTGTCACACCCATGTACAAAATTGATAGGAGGGGGGGGGGGGCCTAGGGGAGGGTCCAAAAATCGTATACTAGGAAAATTACCGGAGTTTATAAGTTATGATCAGACAGACAAACACATAGACCAACAGAGATATATCTTTATAATCAAAGTAGTTTGGGTGTTTGATTTGCCTCAAATTTGTTTAATTTGGTTGGTTTTAAAGTGTTTAAGTTTAGTAGGTTAATTTTTTTTTAAAACTTCATTTCCAAACAAACCCAGGTTACCAAGCACGTATTCATATGAGATATCTACAGCAAGTATTTATAATAATCGACTACGTTTGGAATTTAAAACTTGAATTTACATTTTATATGCTGGCAGTTGCATAAATGTATTTATTCAATGTATGACATTTGCAGTTTGCAATTCTGTGGATTATAGGTCAAATATGGGGTTGTATGAAGGGTTCATGTGAAAGGCGCCGGCGCTTAGAGAGTAGGATAGGCGCCACCAAAGCATTGTATATAAACACTAGTTTAATGAAGTTTATCATCAGTTGATCTTCAACCTTTATCAAGCAACATGCAGGTAGAGAACACAAATAAACATAGTATTTTTTTAAATCCTATTGTAACGTTTTTAAATGTTAAACTTAAAGTATATATGAATACTTTTGTCAATCATTTTGTTTTTTTTTCGGTAAAAACTATCAATCTACTATAAAGATCTGATTTTAGTGATATTTCATAAATCTATATTTTTAGACTATTATTGTTCTTGCTTCCCTCGTCTCTGCTGCTCTTTGCATCCCCGCCGGACCCCCCGCCTATGGACATGAAGAGAACTACGACACCCCCGCCGCCTATGCTTACCAATACGGCGTAGCTGACGATTACAGCGGTGCAAAATTTGAACAAAATGAGAAGAGAGATGGATATTCTACCTCTGGATCATACAGGGTTGCTCTTCCAGACGGTAGAATTCAGATTGTTAACTATCATACCGCCGATGCTTACAGCGGTAACATCGCCGATGTAACCTATGAGGGAACTCCCACCTACGGACCTGGACCCGCCAGGGCTGTTCACGCCGCTGGACCCGCCCATCTTGGATAAGTTATATAATGATTGATTATTTATTCTAAATTATTACAATAAATGATAAATTCAAATTTTTTGGTTCTTCTTGTTTTTTTTTCTTATATAAAAAAGACATTTGTTTATTAAAAAACCAACTCATAAATGATGAGGATTTTTCCAAATACTTGTTAAAAGTTGTAAAATATATTCTCTAGATCTTGGGCATTCTGTCTAGTGTGGCTGTGTGTGTGCCATATACTTTTTAAGAGACCGAAAAAATGAGAAAATACAAAAAACTGCACCCTCATTTTTACAAGCATTTTATAATAATAGGCTTTTAGGCGCTTTGCACGCATCCTCTTTTTCAACTTCAAGTTGTTGCTCTATCTGAGAGCATTTTCTCTTCGTACAATATAAAAAAAATTAACAAAAAAGTTCACGGATTTCATCATCTTTTATGTGCACTCAAAATTTTCCAAAAATAAATTTTTATTTTTATAATTTTTTTTGAACTTCTGAGCATCCATAAACCTTCCCTGGGGACATGTGAGTTTCTACAAAAAAGTTTGGGCCCGATCTGTTTTAACGTGCATTGGAAACAGTCATACAAACAAACAGGCTTTCAGGCCACTTTGTGCCCATCTTCTATTTCAATTGTGAACATTTTCTCTCTTTATACATTGTTTAACAAAAACAAACAAAAAAGTTTGAGGATTTAAAAAAAATATTTCGTGATTTTCAAAATTTAATGAAAAACTAATTATCTTAGAGACTAATTTTTGAAATTTTGATCATTCACAAAGCTTCCCTGGGGTCATGTGAGGTCCCACACAAAATTTGAGCCAGATCGGTTCAGCCGTTTTGACGTACGTTTATTGGATAAAACGGACAGACAGACAAACAGACAAGCAAATATATATAGAGAGACTTCCCTTTGAGGGCCCTCCGCGGCCCATTCTTTTAAAATGTTTCTCTTCAAGTAGCCAAAATGTAAACTTAATTTTTGCAGATTTTTTAAAATGATAAAGGTAACATTTTTCTCTGGGCCAAATTTTTCAATTTTGGCGGTCCATTCTCAAAACATAACTACCCAAATGAATGATTTTATCGACTTTGCGCCCAAACTCAGTAATTGTACACCATTAAACGCTTTATATGTCTCAAATGAATCCTAACAAATTTCTCCACAAACTACATTTTAAGTTCAAACAACCGTACATTGCCGGTCATTCCCTTTAAGCCAACATTTTTATTAGTGAACATTATTTTTTGAGCTTAAGTAATTTAAGAATAAAATTAGCATTCCAAAAAAAAATAAAAGAAAGCTTCGGGTTTTTCTGTATTCCGTAAGTATTTTGCCCGTCCACAAAAATCATCTAAATATCATTTTTTGAAAATCAATTGGTAATAGAAATCTGCAAAAATTAAGTTTACATTTTTGCCACTTGAAGAACAACATTTAAAAAGCATATCATTATAAAATGCTTGTAAAAATACAGTTGTAGCTTTTATGTATTTTCTCATTTTTTCGGTTTCTTAAAAAGTATATGGCAGACAACAGTTCACACAGTTACACTAGACAGAATGCCTAAGATCTAGAGAATATATTTTACAACTTTTAACAAGTATTTGAAAAAATACTCATCATTTATGAGTTGGTTTTTTGATAAACAAATGTTTTTTTATATAAGAAAAAAAACAAAGAGAAACCAAAAAATTTGAATTTATCATTTATTATAATAATTTAGAATAAATAATCAATCATTATATATCTTATCCAAGATGGGCGGGTCCAGCGGCGTGAACAGGCCTGGCGGGTCCAGGTCCGTAGGTGGGAGTTCCCTCATAGGTTACATCGGCGATGTTACCGCTGTAAGCATCGGCGGTATGATAGTTAACAATCTGAATTCTACCGTCTGGAAGAGCAACCCTGTATGATCCAGAGGTAGAATATCCGTCTCTCTTCTCATTTTGTTCAAATTTAGCACCGCTGTAATCGTCAGCTACGCCGTATTGGTAAGCGTAGGCGGCGGGGGTGTCGTAGTTCTCTTCATGTCCATAGGCGGGGGGTCCTGCGGGGATGCATAGAGCAGCAGAGACGAGAGAAGCAAGAATAATAACAGTCTGAAAAAATAGATTTAAGAAATATCACTAAAATCAGATCTTTATAGAAGATTGATAGTTTTTAACGAAATAAAACAAAATGCTTGATAAAAGTATTCATATATACTTTAAGTTTAACATTCAAAATCGTAACAATTAAATTTTAAAAAACTATGTTTATTTGTGTTCTATACCTGCATGATGAAGGTTGAAGATCAACTGATGATAAACTTTAATGAACTAGGGTTTATATACAATGCTTTGGTGGCGCCTATCTCTCTAAGCGCCGGCGCCTTTCACTTGAACCCTTGATACAACCCCATATTTGACCTACCATCCACGGAATTGCAAACTGCAAATGTCACACGGAACGGGATGCAAAATATTTTGCAACAAGTTGCTGATTAGCCAGATGAAAGATTAATATTTAAAATAACAGTTTTTGCTAAGTTCTATGAAACGTAAACAATTAAAGTTTATGAAGGGTGGTAGAAATAACGATACAATTATTGTTTTTATTGCCAAATATTTTTTATAAATTACAGGATTTTCAGAACATTGAAATAAACCACAGAGTAGATATTGATAGAATTGAGAACAGCAGACAAGCAGGGAAAAACTGGGGTTGTGTGTGTACGTTTTCTTTACATCTACCCATCTTTCAGATCATTTATGTAGTATTGATGTGTACGCCGGCAAAATGTCTACTTAAAAATGTTATCTAAATATATGCCAAACTCAAACTTTAAAACAAGTTTTTCTTTCGATGTATAAACATTAAGGGATGATATTTAAAAGTTAGAGATAGATATATCATTTATATTAAACATTAAAAAAAATTAAAATCCTTACCATTCAAATTGTTTTTTTAATGACTTTGAAACCTCAGGTTCAGACGGAGAAATACACTTTTTGCGACATCACAGCAGTATCACTTTGTGATTTTGCGACATCACAGCAGTATCACATTGTGATCTTGCGACATATCACAGCAGTATCACTTTGTAATTTTGCGACATCACAGCAGTATCACTTTGTGATTTTGTGACATCACAGCAGTATCATTTTGTGATTTTGCGACATCACAGCAGTATCACTTTGTGATTATGCAACATCACAGCAGTATCACTTTGTGATTACGCGACATCACAGCAGTATTACTTTGTGATTTTGCGACATCACAGCAGTATCACTTTGTGATTATGAGACATCACAGCAGTATCACTTTGTGATTTTGCGACATCACGGCAGTATCTTTTTGTGATTTTGCGACATCACAGCAGTATCACTTTGTGATTTTGCGACATCACAGCAGTATCACTTTGTAATTTTGCAATATCACAGCAGTATCACTTTGTGATTATGCGACATCACAGCAGAATTACTTTGTGATTATGTGACATCACAGCAGTATCACTTTGTGATTATGCGACATCACAGCAGAATTACTTCGTGATTATGCGACATCACAGCAGTATCACTTTGTGATTTCGGAACTCCTCTAGTTTTGATTTAAAGCACAAGTATGCAGAAGAAAGCAAATTTAAGTTAAATTTCCATTTCCTGTTCTTATTCAATCTTACATGCAATTTACTTTAGTTTGAAGTGTTTAATCTATAGATAAATTTAGCTTGTCTGTCGGGCCCAAATTTTGTGTGGGACCTCACGTGACCCCAGGGAAGGTTTATGAATGATCAAAATTTGAAAAATTTGTGTTTAAAAGTTTTCATTTTTGTAAAATTTTGAAAATACACGAAAAAAATATTATGAAATCCGCAAACTTTTTTTGTTTTTGTTTTATACTGTACAAAGAGAAGATGCTCACGTACAGATTAAGCCACAATTCAAAGTTGAAATATAAGATGGGCGCGAAGCGCCTTAAAAGCCTAGTATTTTATAAATCTATAAATAGTAACAAAAACTGCAAATTTTAGTTTTACAATTACAAAGAAAAATCGCGGCTTGAACTTAATACGCCCATTTATTATTAATATAACCATGTAACATTTAATACTAAAGACTGAATTTAACCTTCAGTTTTCATTGTTTTTTTAAAGGTTAAGATCGTCATTAGTCGTTGAACGCGATACGTGCACAGTTGATGGTAAGGTTGTGGGATAAGGAGCCATTTTGAACATTAATTACGTGTACAGGGTGTACACACTACGAATGAGACTAGATACGAATTAAGAAAACTGTTGGGGTAATAATAAAGTCGAATTCAGAAATTGTAACAATTGTTGAGAAACTTGCTATAAATAATGCACGACCTAATTACAGTATGATTTTGTTTCTTATATTTGTATTCATTTTTAATATATATTCTTATAGTTTTTTTTCTTCTTTTTAATTTTACCAATTATTTAAATTTTGTACGTTCACGAAATAAATAAATATATTAATTTATTTGAAAAAAATAAAGAATAAAATGTTAATATTTTTCATACCTTCATTATACGTTTAGGTATTTTTTATTACCCAGACTCGACTTATAACCTTCTCATCTCTGGTCCTTTTTTGGATAGTAAACAATCAACTTTTCAGCTGAATGTTGAACTTTCAAACCTTTTAGACCTCGCATTTAAAGAGCGTGGTTTGTCTTTTTTTTATGATATCAGTATCAGTGGATATATGATAAACTTTGTTCAGATTTCGACAATTTTGGCTTTATGTCAGAAAATCTTACTGTCGCCTTTCTGCTGTCATGTTCAGTTTGTTGAAAACCCTGTATCAAAATCTTAGAAGACGACATCTTGTATACGATTCATTGACAAAAAATAAAACAATAATAATACTTTATTGGATTTAGAGAAAAATAAATTATAACTAATTGAGTAAACTGTTCACGTACAATGCATAACGAAAGGAAAAAAAAAACTATTTTTTTTATCAAATTATACGAAAGAACAATTCGAGTGCTTAATGCTTACTAAAAATTTATATCAATAAACTTAGAAACTACAATTTTCAGCTTTGATTTGAAGATGTAGGTCTTCTACAGGATCTTCTTTCCTTGCCTACCCTCCCTACTGATCTTATCAAATAGTCTTGGGAACGCCTTTTCACAATTTGGAATTCGCTTCCGAACCTGGAAATAATATAAAGATACCTCATTATGATGGATAATACTGATATGAATAATACGGATAAGAATAAACATAATTGATATGATATTAGTATTAAAGATAAAAATAATAATATAATAATAACGGTAGTGTTAATAATAATAAAACAAATAAAATAATAATAAAAATAATCAGGAATAATAATCACCGAATAGTAAAGATCTCCAGTATACATAGTTTCAAATTCCTCGTTTGTCATCAGAGTTTCTGCGTAAAGCGCCTAAATATAAATCCAACTTCGGAAACTTTTTATATTTCAAACTATAAATTCGGTTACATCAAATAATCGAAGTTTTAAATATCAAAAGTTTACACAATCAGTTTTCAAAGATATAGGGTTTAGATAGTAATTCCTGATTTACAACGATTCCTTAAAATATTAACATTGTAAATCGTGCATTTCCATTTTTGCATGGAGGGTTACTTACGCTAAACGTCACGTAATTTATTTTCCAATATTTTAAATTCCCATTTAATGTTTGTATTTTTAAAACTGTGATAATCCCTTTGAACTGTGTACTAGCCTGGAATCCATCATGCTCTAGGGCAAATTTCTCAAATAGCCGCAGTGTCGCGTCTCGTCCCTTTGCAGATCAATATTATAGAACATGGTTTTAGCTGAACATGATTTTAGCTGAACATGATTTTATGCATGGTTTTAGCAGAACATGATTTTAATTGAGCATGATTTTATGCATGATTTTGGCTGAACATGATTTTAGCTGAACATGATTTTAGCTGAACATGATTTTATGCATGATTTTAGCAGAACATGATTTTAATTGAGCATGATTTTGGCTGAACATGATTTTAGCTGAACATGATTTTAGCAGAACATGATTTTAATTGAGCATGATTTTGGCTTTTAGCTGAACATGATTTTAGCTGAACATGATTTTAGCTGAACATGATTTTAGCTGAACATGATTTTAGCTGAACATGATATTAGCTGAACATGATTTTAATTGAGCATGATTTTGGCTGAACATGATTTTAGCTGAACATGATTTTAGCTGAACATGATATTAGCTGAACATGATTTTATGCACGATTTTAGCAGAACATGATTTTATGCACGATTTTAGCTGAACATGATTTTATAGAACATGATTTTATAGAACATGATTTTAGCTGAAAATATGATTTTATGCACGATTTTAGCTGACCATGATTTTATGCACGATTTCAGCTGAAAATATGATTTTATGCACGATTTTAGCTGAACATGATTTTATGCACGATTTTAGCCATGGGCTTCCACACAAACATTCAATCAATTTGGTCCAGCCGTTCGGTCAGCTACAGTAAACATATAAAAGAAAAACCCGACTAGTATTCCATGAAGTAAAAACATAAAAAAAACTTTTCCGGAAATTGTCGCTTCAAATTTTGTTTTTGCGAGCTATTTCTACGGAATTTGCACTCTTTGTCTCCCCCGTTCTTTTTCTCATTTCTTCGCAACCATTTTCTTATTTTACAAAAAAATATATTTCAATCATCTGTTAAAGTTCCTTGAAGGTTTTCAGATGGGAGAGACCGTATACTCCAAGATCAACGTACATCGTATCTCCACCCCTTGGCATCAGACTCTTAGGACCCTATATAAAAAAAATATTTCCAAAATTTTTAAAAGATTTAAGTTGTTTAAACACATGTATATAACTTCGTGTTGCAAGAGTAAGTATTTTTCACATATTTTATCTCTGCAACAGAAATTTCTTTTACCTAAGATGGTGAATATTAACATGCTAAAAGATTGCGCAACAATTAAAAGTTGAAATAATTGATAGCCTAGCTTTATTAAAATTGATAAACCCTTAACTGACCTGAGGTTGATAGAGGCGTGTAGGAACCATCCATAAAGGCCAAACATCAGTAATCTCTGCACTCAAGAGAATACCCTCCTTTAATAAACAAAATTAAGGCAAACCTTCAAAAAAAGAGTTTATTAAAGTTATTTGTCCTTTGCTCAAGCTGGGATTGAGACGTGATTTCTAGTGATCCTTCATTCACTTCACAACGGTATCCAATAAATATTTACTTGAGCAAAAATTATAGGAAATCCATATTTATTATTTATCCATTGAAAATTGATAATTTTTATTGTAGTTTCTGTGGAAAGAGTCTTCCGGATTTAAGAAGGAGAAACAAGGAGAAATCTTGACAGAATTCACCTCTCTTCATTCTTCAAGATAGAACAATCACAAAATCTTTATTATTTCTCAAATAAAATGTAACATTGTGACATTTAACTCTATTAACTGGAGGGTGACGTGAAATTACGTTAGTAGTCCCTTCGTAAATTATGCTTGAACTAACCTTGACATGCTTCATAGGAATAATAAAATCCTGAAGATTAAAATTATCCTCGAATTCGCCTCCAACAAATGTTTCCTAAAACAGTATATTTTTCATAGTTAAATGGAAAAATACATAAATAATAAAAGTGCTTTGAATGACTGAGAAACAAGTTTTTTTATTGTTAATTAAAAAAATCCGAAAAAAATAATTGCTTATTCCTCATTTCAATCAACTTTTTCCCAAAGATTATTGATTAGAGGATTTCAATAAGGGAAGTATCTTTTAAACCATTATTTGAAAAAAAAATTATTTTTAATTGTTAATTAAAAAATCTTAGAGCAATAATTGCTTATTTCTCATTTCAATTAACTTCCTCTCAATGATTATTGATTATTGGCTTTCAATTAGAGAAAGTATCTTTTAAACCATAATTTGCAAAAAAAAATATGAAAACAATGCATTTAAAAAACAACAAAACAACATGATTTTTTAATAGATCGTACCTTCAACCAATTAAGCAACTGTGGATTGACAGGCAGAATCCAGCCAAATAAAAATCTAAAAAATTAGAATTTAAAGTTGAAAATAAGGGAAGTGAGATTTTGGCAGAAACTCTAATTGTCAATACCTATATCTTCGCAATATGTGTCGTAGACCTTTTATATTTCAAAATGTGAATTCTGTATTGATTAAATAATCTAAGGTATGTACACAAATCAGGCTGTGAATATAATGATTTAGAAAATATGAGTTTGTGGCAAAAACTCAGTTCATTAATGTGTGGAAATAAACTTGGAAGTCGTAAAATCGTACATGAGCCACAGAATCTTGGTAAAAAATTCCCAAATCTTTTTTTTCATTATTTATTTTCATCATTTTATAACAATCGGATAGATATAGAATTTGTTGATGGACTACTGTCAACATAAATTGAAATAACTTCTAAAATACAGAGTTCAATGTCCGATTTACACAGCTTAAAGGGCACCGTTGTGATTATAAACAATTTTAAATGGAATGCCACTTGAAATTACGTTAACAGTTCCTTTAATGAATAGCACATGCCTGGCAATGATATTATGAGCCCAGGGCAACCACATCGGAGTCAACCAGAAGGTTCCCTTGTTGTGACGCTGAAAACACAAAATTATTTAAAATTTTACAGAATTGAAATTTTTCGCAAAAATGTAAATGTTAGTTAAATCAAAAATAGATAAAATTTCATGAAAAGGAGTTTCGAAATGTTCAATAATCTATTCCCGGGTTCAAAAACGATAATCAATTTTAAGTTGTTTAAAGGAACTGAGTTTCTGCCACCAAAATCAGTGGACATTCATCATATTTCAATATCGCAAGTTTTAAAGTTTATGTTAGCCACTTTGTACATTTGGTACATACAGTTATATAATCATGGGCAGCCGTAGTACATTTTAATTTCCGAGCCGGGTCAACCTTTCCGGTCCTAGTTTGTACCGTACCTAGCTCTATGGACAGGAGTAGCCGGTGCAACAAGTTTGACGCGGTCAGACTTTATGCTTCAGATAGGTTGAATTTAATTTTACTAAAGGAGCAAAGGTGCGTGTAATGATTAGTATGTTCTTTTTGTAAATTTTGTTTGTATATTGAATAAAATGTTAAAAAGTTCATGAGTTTTTTTCTATTTCTGAAGTCATACATTGTTGCAGTAATACTTGCCTGTCTTCCCTATATCAGAGTAAACACGCTAATTCTAATAATTCAAAACTAGACATTCCCTTCGTTTTACAGATTTTCCCAATAAATACTTGAGATAAATTCCTCAGTTATGCGTGGACATACATACACCCAAACAGACACCCAAACATGTTATATATGTAATTTGATATCATTAAAAAGATTACTTGATGAAAATGAAGAGTTGGAACGTATTCGATCGTTTCTCCCTGAAAGAAAAAAAGTAAAAAAGTAAATTTTTTTGGAAAAATATTAAAAAAGGAAAAAGAATGGCTTTTTGTCATTTTTACCTTCTCTAAAAACTTCTCAACGTATTTGTAAAACCAAGGTTTAAACCAGAGTCCCATTCTGTTAATCTTGTCCTTCTCCACCTCCTCCTCTTCCACATACTGCCCTGTCATGATGACTGACTGGTTCACGTTGTACACGATACCCTCCACCGAGTCGTTGCTCGTTGCTAGAAAAAAGAGGATTCAACGCCATAGATCCATTGTAATTTGTATTATCCAACTTAGATAAACTAAATCTACAATAAATAAAAAGTATAAATGGTATTTAAATGCATAAAGTGTTTCAGTTGGTCTGCATAGACAGGAATTTTGCCACAAACTAAAATTTTTTTTTTGATCTGTTTTTTATCATCACAGAAATATGTTTGTGGCAAGGACAAAATTTCATTAAAGAATATTTTGTATACAAAAATGTTTATTTATTATTAAAAGGGTGGCTTACCTTTTTTAAAAATATTTATACAATAATAAAGGGTATATACTCTGCAGTAAAATATGTAAACAATACTTAAGAATACATGACAATCAGATTATTAAAGTTTAAGGGAAATAGTTAAGATTTTCCGGATCGATAGGATACATAAAACTATTCTGGGTCCTGGCATATAATTTACAATCTTGCAAATATTCTGAAAGTCATAATATTTAGGGTTTAGATTAGTTGATTTTATATTGTTTAAAAAATCATACCCTCGAGATTAAATATCTTATTAAAGTCAAAAATGTTTTTAACTTTTCTGTATTAATTGCAATTATATTTTTTTGTTAATTTTAAGATAAGAAAATCACAAGGAAAGCAAACTCCTGTGTAGTGACTGTGAATTACTATATAAAAAGCAGATTTTTGGAATGCAATAATTTTTATACAATCCCTTGAGCTATTGAGGGAAGACAAATGTTTTTAATTTCTAAAATGTAACCGGATTGAGCTTTTGTCACAAACTCTGATATATAATTCTTATATCTTAACAACCTGATGGAGTAAATCATTGTTATTTCAAACTTAGATACTTTTATATAGCAGAATTCACAGTATGAAATATATAAGATCTTTGGGTTGGAGATAGAGGGATTAGAAATTCAGAATTAGTGGTACAGACTCATTTCCTTTCTCAAGTAAGATAGAAACCTAACATTTTTACAATTTCAGTTTAAATTAAATATTTAGCAGAAAACTAAAAAGCCTTAGTATCTTTATCATGTTGATTATGATCCTTTACAACTAAGCCCGCAGAATTATTCTGAAAGTTTAGAAACAGTTCAAATTTAATTAAATTTTCTTCTGTTCCATGGAATAGGTTTGATTTAAAGTTTGTCACTAATCAGGTTGCGAACATTCAGATTTATAAAGTTGAGAAGGAAGGAGGGGGTGGGGGCAGGGTCAGTTCACGATGCAAGAATGGGGTATTTCTAATTAGAGACTGTTCTGAACTACCAAAGATGTTTTTTTTTTGCGATTTTAATATGCAATTTTAAAGTATTAAGGACTTTAAAAATGGTTTCATGCTACCCTTTACTTAAAGAAGTGCATACCGAATTCACAATGGTATCCTTTAGACCATTTTCTGAGCATCAATGATTTTCTTCATTGTCTCATTGTAGTAAATGCCCTACTCCATAAAATTCTCTCAGAGCAGTATCAATCCAGGTACAACTCAATCCCTCTCGTTGGTTTACGAGGCATAAGAGCTAATCAGTTCAACAACACTTCACTATCGATGTCAACACGGACACGATCTCCTAAACTATCAATGTCAACATGGACACGATTTTCATCAACTATCAATGTCAACACGGACATGATCTAATAAACTATCAATGTCAACACGGACATGATCTCATAAACTATCAATGTAAACACAGACACGATCTTCATCAACTATCAATGTCAACACGGACATGATCTCATAAACTATCAATGTCAACACGGACACGATCTCATAAACTATCAATGTCAACACGGAAACGATCTCCTAAACTATCAATGTCAACACGGACACGATCTCCTAAACTATCAATGTCACCAAATACAGTTATAGCTTGTAACTTAACAAATACTTGTAATACTTGTATCTAGTAACAAATACAATTAAAGCTTGTAACTTAACAAATGCTTGTAATACTTGAATCTAGTAACAAATGCAGTTATAGCTAGTAACTTAACAAATACTTGTAATTCTTGTAGCTAGTAATAATACACTTAAAGCTTGTAACTTAACAAATACTTGTAATACTTGTAACTTGTAACACATACAGTTTTAGCTTGTAACTTAACAAATACTTGTAATATTTGTATCTTGTAACAAATTCAGTATCTAAAATTGTGTCACAGAAAATCAGAAAAATGAAATGATGGGTTGGAAAACAAATTTTGTAATTTTAATTTTATCCAGTGCAGAGGTTGGGATTACCTTTATGAGTTTCTCTATCGAGCAGACTGATAGTTTCATCAATACTATAGGCTGGTCTGTAGGTCAGCTTCATGTACGGTTTATACGGTATAATCCTAATAGAGACGCTAGTCAGGAACCCCAGGGTACCATAGCTCACAGGTAGGGCGTAGTACAGATCGGAGTTTGTGTCATGGTTCGCGATCATCACCTCTCCGTCCGCGGCGACGATCTCGAACTCGGAGCAGATGTACTGGAACAATCCGTACTTGTGGCTGGTGGATTCTAGACCTCCTCCCATAACCAGGCCTCCTAGAAGAAAGGGATAGGATTAACAATCGAATTGCCACTTCGGCTTATGATTTTCTATTTGTAACTGATATATAATGTATTGGCTTTTAGGGCACTTCATTGTTAGTGTTAACCAGTGCTCTTCAAGCTGCCAAGCTGCTATATCTATTTCTAAATCGCTTTTTGCATATTTTTCTGTTCAAATATTTGTATTTTTCAAAAATACGACATGTCAACATTTGTTTCATGTTAAATTCTTCATCGTTGACGGTTCATAAACTGGGCCTGATCCATTCAGAGCCGCTTTGATGTTTATTGGAGATAGACAGACAGACACCAATGGTAGAGTGCATCCGTTGCAACCAGGAGACAGTTTAAGAATCCAATACCCAGTTAGCAACCAGGAGATGGTTAAAGAATGCTATCCTATATCTACCTATAGTTAGTATATCTAGCTCCGGTACTATACTGGTAGAGTGTATCTGTTAGTAACTTGGTAGAAGGTTCAAGTATCATATATCTACCTATAGTTAGTATATCTAGCTCCGGTACTACTGGTAGAGCGTATCTGTTAGTAACCTGGGAGAAGGTTCAAGTATCATATACCTACCTATAGTTAGTATATCTAGCTCCGGTACTACTGGTAGAGTGTATCCGTTAGCAACCAAGAGACGGTTCAAAAATCCAATGGTTACTGCAGGTTCAACACGAACTATCATTTTCTCCTTATCTATCTCCAACACATCTCCTAGATCTATCTTCACTCTGAAATATAGTTATAAACCATGGTTTTATATCTTGGACCAACAAAAATTATATAACATGGTTATACACACCAACAGATAGGGGTATTTTATGTACTTATTAAAACTACAACGTAAAAATAAATTTGTTTAACTGAATAAAAAATTAAATGATTCCAGAATTATTTTCTGATTTTACATCGATTTGTTGATTTCTATAGTTCTTGTATTTAGAGGATTTGTGAAAGTTATTGATGATAATAATGTTTAAAATCTGATGTTTACTAGATAATGAAGAGTTACTAGTGTGTCTATTTAAAATAATTTTTAAAACATGCTAACGCAAGAAATCCCGACTTGTGATTGAAAAAAAAAGTTTTTGCCAAGCTTTAAGCATTTACATAGGTCGACCCCAAAAAATTCCCCCCAAAAATGATTCTTTTCGGGATGGCGTAAAAATCACCTTGAAGTGATTATTCCAGAATTCCAGATTAGTCCCACGAAACAGTTTTGAATGTCTTCTTCCATATACTGTATTAGATATTAAAGACTTTTTGTAGTTTATTTTGTTTGAAAAATCTTTTACTCAAATATATTTTACTTTGAAATCAATTTTTCTGTACAATGACTCCCATATATTATTTTTTATTATTCGTTTTGGTATCAAACAGCTAAACAAATTATGAAAGAAGACATTTTAAACCAGTCACCAACTATCATGTTTCGTGGGACACCCTGTATATGAATACGAAATAAATACAGACTTGACGGCACAGAAATCTCACTTTTTGGGATACGTTAAGCTATATTTTTGGGATACGTATTAGAAGATGGAACTCTTTTAACATACATCCATGGCTAATTTTGAACAATTACTTTTTTGCGACTTCACATTTATATACAACCAGCAGGGACCGAACTTAATGAATTTGATCTGCCTACCGCCGGTTCAAATTTGAACTGCCGATTCAAATCCTTCCACCCTATCCGATTGGACTATTTTTTTCTAATATAGACGGGGGGGGGAACTCAATCC